CATGTTCTTTAGCACTTGCCTTTCTGTTGAATTTATTGAATAATTTCTCGTGACGAAATATTGAACGGACGGATATGTCTGTGGCTTATTTGCGGCACGACACGGCACACGGCACAAATGCACACGAGAATCCAGCAAAGAACGAACACTAAAACGGCGTTGGGATTCTGTTATCCTTCGAGGTAATATCACGTATACGCGACGTTGGCGGCCAGAACACAGAGAACACGAGGCGGCAGGAGGCAGATCTCGGCCAGCTCCACGAGTACCCTAGCGATTACTTGGCAGTTGGCGCTCCGACAGCAGACTAAGCGATATCCGGGCCCTACAAGCCGTCTTCTATGCGCCGCGGCCACAGATACAGATACAGATACTCAGATACACAGATACACCAGTTTCGGATTCGGATTCGCAGTCGCAGTCGCAATCGGATTCGGTTTCAAACTCGGCTCTGTTCGGCACCCGATGATCATCAGCGAACAGGTGAGCATTTCATATGGCAGTCATTGCATGTTTTTGAGGGCCAGTTCTAGGATCTGCGTTGAGAACACTTTGGCTAATTACCCAACGATCGCAGCGGCGAAGGTGGCGTGAAATGTATGCAGACATTAATTAGATGTCGATGTTAACTAATGTAATAGACGACCGCCTTCTCCCGTGGCGCAACTATTTTTAAATCGAAGGGAGAGAATGTTGCAGTGGGCCAAATTATAGCAGCCAGATCTACTCCGGGCGGGCATTCATCACTGGAAGCGGGAGTTGAATGCTACTAGATGTGCAAAAGCGATTGTGCAATTAAATGGCCCCAAAATGCCTCCCAGCCAAAGGGGCACGGAGCAGAGTCGAGCTTCCAGTGGCCACTTGATGCATTTCAGCCACGTCATTCCCTCACTCACTCTCCAAGACGGCGGCATTGCAGTGCCAACTGCATTACACATTGTTCGGGACTGAAAAGAAGTCTACAATTGCCGAGACGCACTGACTCCGACTCCAACTCCGACTCCGACTCCGACTCCCTGACATTTGGCTCCATCGCTAATTGCTCAATCAAAGAAAAGAAAACAAAGCAATAAAAAAAATGCAGGTTCGAGCCTCATTTGGTTGTCAAGTGATTGCCGCCGGGCCACGCCCTCGCTTCCCCCACAAAATACAAATAATATACAATATACAAGTGAATGTGGATATAAAAACAACGTGCGAGGGGCCTGCACTTTGCCAAAACAAAATTTCATCAATCGATTCATTCACAGATCGCTGACGCCTTTTAATCTTTGGATTTGCGATCCGGCCGATGCCTAATTCAGCTTTACCTGTGGCTTCATCGAGCTTCCGCTATTGCGAAGGTCGCCGGCGTTGGAATGCCCGACGCGTGCCCGAATCTCATTTGTGCGGCGGCGGGTGCTTCAACTCATTTCAATTGCTAAATATTTTTTGGCAATTCGATGAAGATTCTACGCAACATTTTATACATAAATGTTAACGAACTATCCGTCTGAACTGATTTCAAGGCGGGCCGGGCAATACAGTTCCATTTCCCAAAGTTTGGTTATCTCCAAATTATCCATCTTACAGTCTTATCGATCCACTTTTTACAATCAGGTTCAGGTTCAGGTTATAGATGCTCGACTGTGTTTCCTGATCGCCATTCAATCAAACAGTTTATTGTTTAGGCAACGATTTCCGTAAATTTTCCATACGAATTTTCACTTTGGGTCTTCGGGCCAAGCCATTTCAAAGTCAATGTCACCTGGCGGAAACAAAAGACTTCGGACACGAACTGGCTGCGATGCCCCGGAGCATCGATTTGAAGATACGACTGCTGCTGTTCATTTAACGACTTATTCGATTAGAGGTTTTTATTCAAAGTTTGTTTTATTTCACAGACATCACCTTTACAACGATCGCGAATAAAAACAAAAAAGGAAGCTTAACTCCAGAAAGTTGAAGTTTGTATTCCCTAACAGTTTGCAATTGGTTTAGGAGCTAAAGTTAAAATTAATCATCACTAAGCCCAAAAAATCATGAATATTTTAATATTTTATAATTAAATAACAAGGAATTGAATTGTAAATCGAAATGTATATGACACTTGGCCTGATGTTTTTTTTTTTTTGACAATTTAAAGTTAAAAATCTCATAACTAAGTCAAAAAAGCATCAATTTCATTTCGGAAAGTTGTTTTGTGTTAGTTTTTAAGAGGTTAATAAATCTGCATACCAAATATTTCATTTGAAAATATTCAAATTTTTGTAAATTTTTGAAAATTTTAATGATGTAACCCCTTATAACAATTTGAAATTTTGAAAAATTTTTGAAAATTTATTTTTCAACCAGACATGTCTAGATCGGCTGTTGATTCTGATCAAGAATATATATGATTTATAGGGTCGGAAATGACTGCTTCACTGATAAAAATTATAATACCCTCTGAAAGGGTATAAAAAAGAAATAACATACTGCCAGTCTTTTGTTGCGTACATTATACGGCTTTAATGTTTTTGAACTTGACAAGATAGCTTAATTTGCATGAAAATCATCTGACTGGGGATTTCTGCAAGAATACAATTGATTGAGCAAAAAATTCTGCCCCTTCCTTGCCTTGTTTTGCTCCTAATTTTCTAATTTTGGCTTGTCCCTACGCGTTTTTTGTGGCAATTCTTTAAGCAATCGGCTGCGTACATTAAAACTCAATTAATGCGTAACACTTAGAGAACACGGTCAAATAAAGAGCAATGAAGAAAAAAGCGCAGCCCGGTAATCTTGGCCAGCACCAGACTTTGAGTCCACGTCCGAGTCCGAGTCCGAGGTGAACTGAGGCTGATTGGAAATCAATGAACTAACGAACTGGACACACAGCGGATGCTAGCAAAAGCCTTGACCATAACACTTAAACGCCAAAAACCTTCAAAGACCAGTTGCCACTTGCTGGCTGTCAGTCAGTCAGTCTCGCACTCAGTCTGCGCCGGTCTGAGTCGATGTTTATTGAATTTAACGCATAAAGCAACTGCACAAGACCATTAATAAACAGTCGAAAGCCGAGCTGAAACTGGGTGGCGGCATGAACTCTCCATACGCATTCGAAGTTTGTCGACATTGAACTGCACACCACCAGACACACACAAACTCGGTCTCGGTCTGGGTCTCAGTTTCTGATATAGATGCATATCTCATAATTACGATGACAGCCAAATACATAAATCGACGCAGCTTCTCTTCCGGCTGGCCCAGTGCTCCGAAGAGCAGGTGACCACACTGACCGACTTGGACAAACAATTTGTCCAATTAAATGTGATGGGAAGTAATTAGAGTACATACATGTCGCGTGCATTGGTCTTTAATTGAAAGTGAAAGCACAGAAAATGCGTCGAATTTTCAGGTAAACGTAGACAGTCTGAATTGAAGATGACACTTGAGTAAATCAGTACGAAAAAGAGTGGGAAATCTTAAAGGTTACATCCCAAATGCGAAGGTGAGACCATTTCCCCACCTGGCATTCATTTGCATTTTTGATTCAGCGCAAAGTTTTGGGGAAACTGTGTAGGGTGTTTTATGATCTCCGGACCCCTAACCATAAAACGTAAAATGCTTTGGCTTTTAGTAGTATTTTTGTATAGTTTAAATATATGGCTGGGGAGGAGTGGAACGAACATGTTGTCGTATGGATCGAATGAACAGTGATGCTTCAATTATATAGTTATCAGTAATCAAAGTCAATTCCAAAACAGATAAGAAAATAAAAACTATAACAGGTTTAAATTAGTTCAAAATGGATTGATTTAATGATCTTTTTAAAGAGGCAACATTATAATAAGTAAAACAACATTTTCGTCTTTTGTCCTAGTAAGTTTTCGTTGTTACACTCGTAAACTGATCATTATTTAAATATATTTTAAATAAAGAACTCCTAAATTATTGTAGTAGGAGAAGGTAGTGATCATCAAGCCCAAGCTCTACTGTACAATTTAGCTATGCACATGCTTATGGCTCATTAAAACATTTTTAAGATATTTCTCTTTGACTTAAGTTCGGATTTCTCCCATTTTGCTCAACTTCCGAATTGATATTCGCCCATTTTTTTCACCAAGTCATTTGGATTTATTATTTTTTACTTTATTTTTGTGCTGTTGAACTTGAATTTGTGGAGTTAAAAACAAAAATAAATGCTGAAATGGCATTTAGTTGAAAGACACGTGCCGACAACTTGTCAAGTACAAAGTTCGATTATTTGCGAATAAAATAATAAAAGGCTTAACGATCTGCGGATTCATTAATAGAAACTGGCACATAACGAAGACAATGACGCCGCATAGAACACAGGGCAGCGGAGGAAGGGAATCGGATGCGAGATCCGAGACTAGACCACGGCTGCTCACTCGATCAAGGGGGTCAAAGTCAACTCTCGAGATCCGCACAGCATTCGCCCAGTCATCAGCCGAAAAGCGTTGTGCCCTCGCCAGACAGACTGAACTCAACTAATAACCCCGATGATGCCGATTTCTAGTTCTCTGGGGCGATATATTTATGGCGAGGCATTAGGGTGATGGTAACCGTTGCCTCATTGCTATAAAATATGCGAATTATGCAGATATATCCCCAATTCCGAGCAGTAGAAACGATCTGATTGAGAAGTCTTTTCAGATTTTTATTGTTTTGATTCGCTTTTATGATGTATATATAGTAAGATAATATCTATGGCTCCAATGCGCCCTCCTGGTTTGTGTATGTGTTTGTGGGGATGAGTGCGTATAAGTGATGTGTAAGTGTAAATTCAGACCTCATTTGAATGTGTTGTTTTTATTACTCCATAAACCCCTAATAACTCGAAAGCAACAAAAGGGTCTTCTATTTTCATAACTTAAAGTAGAAATTGCTTGGCTGGCTTTTTAAAAACGATTTTGCAATGGTAAACCTGAGCGAACCTTAGCTTGCTGAGGTTCAACCAATAGCAGCTGCTAGCAACTCTACCCAACTTAGAGTAAGATTAAGTAAACGATTGGAAATTTTATAAATAATTGTACATGTATTAATTAATCTAGCGGAGAATCCATTCGACAATCAACTGTTTCGCTACTATTCATTTCTAAAATTTAGCAGGATCTTGATGATAAATGCGCATAAATTTGAAGTTATGTTTCTTTGTGTCGTGAATTTGCTTCTGTCGGACTCGTATAACAAGGTACAAATGCTCACCAAACGCTAAAAAGGCTGCATTGTAAAACTGCGCTAGTTCGCTTTAATTAATGTTTTATGAGTAATTATGCATGGATTGTATGTGGTTACTCTTTCTGATGATTGTTCCTTGGCATTTCACTCCAGCTTCTAGAAGGTTATTGGTTCTATGGGAACGGTGCACTCGCTGTACATCACTCGGTACATTGCCATTTCGGATATCCCATGGTAATGCACAAAGGCGGCCGCAATGACCAGTATGTGGAATATCTGATGAGATTGACCCTGCAAGGCATCAACGCAAAGTAAGGAAGGCCTAGAGGTTGCAGGTATGTGTTCAAGTCTTACCCAAATGTCAAACTTTCCGGGGAACCAGCGCTCGGGGACACGGAGTGCATACATAAGAGCACCCAGGATGTAGAGCAGGCCTATATCAATGTTTTTTTTTTACATTATAAAACATATTTTCATGTCTCTCCTTTCCAGGAGGCACACTTACCCATGAGAATTAGCCAACCCAGACTGGCGCGGCTCATTTGGCTGAACCAGCCCTCCATGATGCTGTAGTGAATCGCTGGAATAACACCGGACAGGCCAAAGCTCATGAACACGCCCGCGCGCAATGGCCGAAGTCCCGGCTCTGAGAACTTGTCCCATAGCGAGACAACGATGGAGAGAACGCCCAGCACACACACCACCGACAGGTATATGACCTTCGGCTGGTAATGACAGTAAAAGCCATAGTACAGCCAGGGTACAAAGGAGCCCATGATCAGCAGCGCAATTCCACAGTAGTCTAGTCTGCAAGCACATACATCAAATAATTAATACCAGTTAAACCGTTAAATGATGCAGTAGCTACTTACTTAGAAAACAGTCTTCCCATCTCTACGGAGTGACAGCTAAGTGTGTGAAAGGCAAACGAGAATCCCAGGCACACAATGGCCCCGATGAAGAAGGCGCCGAAAACGATCTTCTCTTGTGTTTGAATCTCCACCGACGGTCGGGTTATGAAGTAAGTAGCTACGCCAATGAATGCGATGCAGCCCAGCAGATGTGTCCAGATGTTGCCCGTTTCCGTGTGGACACGGAAAATCGATTTGAAGCAAGCGCGGAACGAGGGCAAAGGTGGGCGATGACCACGGTGCAGGAAGTCGTTATCCTGCAGCCATTTAGGTAGGTTTTTATAGTGGCAAACCTTCCAGCTAGCCTCCCAGACCTAAAATGAAAAGATAAGTGATATTAGTTGGATGCAAAGTACAGGACAGTAGCTACAATAAAGGAAAAAAAAACTACCATTTAAAAAAAAAAAAAAACAACAAAACAAGGCACTTGAAATATTTATTTAACTGGAAACTGCTGCAAAATCACAAAACAATTGCATGGAATCTTGCACCTAAGCCTTTCCTCAATTTGGCAGGACCATATATCTTACCTTGCGAACAAACTCCTCCGCCTGCTCAGCGGCATTGTGGGCCAGTGCGCCCAGATCTATTTCATCGGATAGAACGCCAGCCTTCAGCACTTCCGTCATCTGAGAAAAATATTGATAAGACATTAAAATGTTAGCTTAGAATACTTCGAGCAGGATGTCAAAGGAAATCTAAAATCGAATGGGACTAACATTTCCGCCTGCCTTCGACTCAATTGCGTCCTCTATCTGGCTTCTCTTGGCGATTTCTGAATCTTGACCAAATTCCGGCTCTGGGTCCGGGTTCATCCGCACCACAACCTCTGGCTGCGTCTGGAGCTTGTCGTCGGGCATCTCGAGCAGCCAGCAGAGATTCATGCAAAACTAAAACTAAGAGTGCGAAACAACAAGTGTTCGTACTTTGAAACTTGTGGCAGTCGCATACTTATTTAAAACAATTTGTTCAAACGCTGTCAGCAGAGCACGAGAATTCACAGAGTGCGTCAAACGATAAGATAAGCGCGCCCGAGCCTGTCTCTCTTTTTCTCTCTCTGCAGCATTATCAGCGACGCATCTAACGCTGAATGCCTAGTTGGAGCGGGAAGGGCCAAGCCGACGCTTCGCGCGCTTAATCCCCTTGTAACCTTTTAAGCCGTTGCTTAAAGGCACGACGAAATAGCCTGATGGGCCAAGTACAAAACCCGAATCAGGAAAACATACTTGACAGCCGGCAAGTAAAGAAAAAGCCATACTATAGATAAGGCTCTTCTTTCTGATTGCGGTGGAATGGGCCACAAAATGGGCAATTTGATTTATCATAGAGCCAAGATAAGGTTTTACACTGAAGCAGAACCGTGACTAAGGAGAGCACCACCTGTGCATTGAGGCAATGCAATGGCCTCAATGTGGGCCAATCGTCGTCGATAAGAGTCCGACATTCAAATGACAGTCGGAAAAGTTCGGCTAACAAGTGGTTGATGATAACCACTGGCTTGCGGGTCAGCGATAAGAGTATACCCACAGATGGCTGCGCAAATCGATTAACTGCAAATTTTCCGTCAACCAACACTCACCTCCGCCTCAATGAGCTGTGTGTCCTCGGGGGTAGAGGGCAGAGGACAGCCTGCATCATCCTCCTCGCCCAGCTCGTCGTCGTACTCCAGTAGATCCAAGTCATTGGCGCTTAGCGAATCCTCGGGTCCCCAGCCGCGACGTTTGCGCAGTATCATCTTCACTTGTTCGAAGATGTCCTCCTCCACCTCGTCGCTGCCACTGCCTCGCAGCGTGGCCGTGGTGGTGGTCACCGCCTCCGCGGAGGAGTTCCCGGCAGAGTCCATGCCAAAGGTGGTCTTAACGTTGGTGGTCACCTCCACCTCGGCGTTGCTCATGTTGTCCGTCGAGCTCTGGCGCTCCAGCAGATTCGTGGCTGAGTCCATGGCGATCTTAAAATCCCTGGACTACCTTTGTGTAAGCCTCCAAAAAGAAGATTCTGAAATTAAATACGCTCTGATCAGTTACTAGATACTTCGAAATTTTGTTTATTTTCGGAATCGTTTGTAAGTTCAACGCAGCCGTCGCCAGCTGAATGGGAAAACTTGATATTTGATATAGTATGAATTTATTTGTTTATTAGCTTGCCCTGATCCCCGCCAATTGCCCAGCCATATAGTATAGTGTCGTGTGACCTTTGGATCCCACGATGTGTGAACACTGTACATGGTGTACTTATATATCTTTTGCTTTTCTGTTTGTGTAGCTTTGTCGTTGATCATATCGTTTAGCGAGTTAGCTTGCCAATTAAAGTTTTACATAAGATCATTGATGGGAACGGGAGCGCGGGGTTAATGTGTAATAATCTGCACTCGAGAAGTTTTCCATCGATAAGCAGCCAAGTGCAGGGCCACGTGGAGTGCGTGGTGTCGTGACTGGGATTTGACCCCCACCAGATTTTCACCTGCGCACTCTAGTTTTTTTCCCCGAACTAAGTTTTGGGGCAATTGGTGTCACAACACTTGGGGCAACTAGGGGTTAACGTTCATTTCACCGTTGCACTCCAAGTACGTCACTCACTTCTCGAAAGTCGCGCGATGGGCGTAACTTCAACTGAAGGCGCTTGAAGTTATCACTGGCGCTGGGAAAAGCACGCTGCACTTGATTTAATTAGATGCAAAAATAGTTTTCTTCATGTGTTTTTCATTAATTTTCTTGCTAGTGTGGCTGTGTATTCGAAAAGGAAAATCTCAAACAACCATATGTTCCAGCATTAAAAGGGTAAATTTTCTCGTGGGCATGCGGTCACACTGGACCGGACAGCTGTTGACACATCTGCTTCTGGAAACTTGGTCGAGAAGTCTGGCAACGCCACAAAGTGGCGCCAACATTCAAAGCACGCTGAGAGTGAAGTCACGTTGCAGCCGGCAAACAATGTACTTTCATTATTAGTCAAACATTGTTAGTCACTTACGGCTTTTTAATGGCAGTCAATGGGGTGATAATTTTGCCTGCTAAATAGTATTATTTACCCTAATATTTTACAAACAAATTATTTTCATGGGAAACTGCCGACCATGACGAAATTACAAAATTGCTAAATATAATAATAAACTCTTTCTTGTTTTTTGAATAAATTATTGGTTCCTCATTGGGTTAAATGAATGGAAAGTCGCTGTTAAAAAAAGGGGTTTGCGGCACAAAAATATATTTAAACTACCATTTGTTATGGTCCCTTATTTATGCCAAATGAATATATGTATTTAATTAATAGGTTTAATCAATCTATTATTCTGTAGCTGATTCGAATTTATACGGAAAAATAACTACACAAATCTTTGTAAGCCCCTTATGATATTATATATATTCTTATATTATATAATATCTTTTATAAACGGAAAGTTACCTTAAAAGTTGTAGTTATGATGTCGCGAAAGGCGATTGTCGGCGAATTCCCATGTTAAAACGCGGGATTAAATTATATTTAAATATTCATACACACATGTCACTATTATTTTCCGAGTGCCGAGAAAGCTCGTGGCAAAACACTTAAGTATATTATTATTTTTGTATAAATCTAAAACAAGCTCAGCTCAAATCTAGTTTCGATATAATTTGTATGGAAAAGCTTTAATTAAGAGCTCTTAAATTGCATAAAAATCAAAAGGTGTTTCAAAAGCTGATAATGACTTAATTATAAGTAAACCTTTATCATTTATGTATAATTATATTTAAAATCATAATCATATTCTTATATATTTATTGTTGAATTTAAATAAGTGGATAGTAAAAAAATATACTAATTTAGTAACCAAATAGAAATTCAATTGCTTTCGGATTTTATTGCTTCTGTCGCTACGAGACTATAGATTTTTATGACCCATAAAAAGCAAATAGCTTATAGCAGTTTACACTAGGCAGTCGCCTTAGTTTTTTCAAATTTGTTAATATTAACGAGACCAAAATTCATAGAACATCGCGTCTTGCTCAAGGACGATATGCAGTAATATGATGAAGACGAATCCAGGCCAATAACATCAATCAGCCGATTACGATGAGACTTCAGCTCTTGGCTCTCTGCTCTTGAAGTTCTGATAAGCACCGCCGCTAACTCGGCCAAGGATCTGAAGCAGATTTCGCACAGACCCCGACTAGCGGTATTAATCGGCGGTATTAAAATAGTTGCCGCTGAAGTTCAGGGTCAATATCACAAAAGAGAAACGCCGATAATAAACGCGATGCGAATGACAAGCGAACGATAACAAATGCAAAACGACTTTTTGTTTTTGCCTCGCCATGTGACCAATATGGAAATGGAAATGCTAAAGACCCGGAAGAGCTGGTGCACTGCATCAGCTTTGGCTTTGACTAATATTTGGCCCGGCACTTAGCACGTGGGCGGGGGGTCTTAATTGATTTAGGAAAGTGCGTGAAATTTCCCAACGAACGCTTCCCAGCGAGCTGGAAATGTGTTAATCCCTTAGTTTGCATAACTAAATACCCGTAATTGATACGAAATCGCTGATGGAACGAGGCGTGTCCCAGACGAGATATAATGCTCACTAGGCCGGCCGATTCAACCCAGCTCCAGCTTTAGCTCCAGCTCCAGCTCCATGACGTGACGGCGATAATAAATCAATTGTCTAGCGGTTTATTTAAAGCCAATTCGTGTGACGGCTCGGGAAGTGCACAGGGAGAAATATCAATTAAATCGTTTAGTAATTGTTGATAATGGTTTAATTTAATTTATTTTAACTTTGACTTATCCACAAATTAATTAACATTATATATTAATTAAATCCCTCTTTATTTTCTTTTAATTTGAATTTTGTATTCTTTAATTTAAAAAAAATTTCATGTATTTCATACAAAGATGATCAAATACATTGAAAATAAATTGATTAGAATAGAAAAATAGTATTTCTTTAATCCTGAGACATCGAAAAGTATTTATTCGAAAGTGACAGGTATAAATTAGCTTAGAGCTTGTTAAAAACAGGATTTTAAAATACATATTCATATTTGTTAGACACTTTTTTTCCTGTGTAAGTTTTTATTATGTTTCTCTTTGCTTTTTAAGCGCTCTTTTTGCGATAGGATCTGCATGTTTTTTTGTTTTTGGCAATCGGAAAAGGGTTAATAAACTTGTTCAAAATAAACCAAGAAAAGCTATCGTTGCTGCCGCCGTATAGCTGCTGGCGTAAGCAATTTTGCTTTCTTTTTCGCCACAAAGTGGTAACCATATCCATTCGCTTTAATTGCTTCAAACTTGACCTTAGCACCAGAAATCCAAAAATCAGTAAAGTAACCAAAACGCCATTAACTTGACTTCGACTTGCAACGAGTGACGAAAGCGAAGCAAAAAATTAAGTATACGCCGAGCGGCCCGAACGCCGACTGCGCTGCCCCCCTGTGCGTCAGCAGCGACGCCAGCCGCACGGAGCTCGTTCATTTTGTTTATTTATACAGCCGAGCGTGTAGAACTCCATATTAGTGTCTTCTTGGCGTTGGCCGCAGTAGAGACGGTCGAGTCCGAGTCCGAGTCCGAGCTTTGATCTGTATTCGAGCCGCTGCCAGCTTCAGGCTACGGTTGTGCGACAGTGTGTGTGTGTCTCAGTGCCAGTGCGTGTGTGTTAGCCAAGTTAACGAAGGGAGTCGAACGCCGAACGTGCCCCAATAGAACCCACAGAAGAACACAGGTACGGAAGTGATATGGAATTCTTTTTTCGGATTTTTTTGGGGCCGCGAAAGTGTTGCATAAATTAGAGAGCCAATTTTTGGGGCAGGAGAAGTGGGCCAAAAGCCGATCTAGGCCTGGCCAACTCGGCAACTGCTACTGCTACTGCTACTGCTGCTGCTGCTGCTGCTGCAACTGCAACTGCCACTGAGATACTGGCAATGGTCCGTCTGATTTTTCTCGTCGACCTTAACCCAATGCATCGCACATAGATTAAATGCTGAAAACTGGCTTGAGGAGCTGCAATTTTGCCAGTCAACCAAGGCCAAGACCCTGGCTGCCTGGCTGCTGCATTGAGGCGGCCAAAAGTAATCGATTTGAACTTGTAATCGATTGCTATTCAATTTGCAGCTGCATTGCATCGCATCGCGTCAAGTAAACGGCCTTCACGCCGCCAAAAAGCCCACGCCTCGCGAAGATGACCACATTTCATGGTTAGGCAAACAAATTAGAAGTCGGAGTTCCCACGAACGTGGCCACGGGCCATATCCGTTACAGTTCCTTAAGATAACACAGGCAAAGCCGGCCCAGCGGGCTTAGAAAAATCCAATTAACGTTGCAAATATTTGCCAAGTAATTAAAGGTTGTCAGAGTCGACAGAGCCAAAAATTATGACACATTTTGTGCACGGGGAAAAACAGATCATTTACAAAACAATTCAAGATGATCCGGTTCTCAAAGATTTGTATACCATAGATATGCTAATTTAATATATTATTTATAAACTCTTAGTTTCAAAGCGTGTCGCAAAATACTAGAATAATTTATGGAATATTTTAGGACACATATAGTGTGTTCTTTTAAATGAGGTGATCCTAATTAATTGCATCTTCTTAACCCATCCTCTATTGACATGTTGACATATAACCCTAAATAATTGCATTTTTATTACCCAAAACCACTTAAAATTTTAAAATTTCATACAAATTTGTCAAGCCATTTCGGAGGAGTAAGGTAACCAACACAGTGACATTTTATTTATATAGATTTTGGAAGCACAAATAACTTTTTTAAATATTCATGAGGCATGTGAAATTTATATTTCTTACTTTAAATGAATAGCAATATAAATTTATACAGTTTTTAAACTAATTCCTTTATTGGCTGTTTATAAAGTAACTATTTAAAAAAACAAATTACCCCAATTACACGGCCATATTAGTAATAGCTCTGTACTGAAACTAATTACTTCTAACGTATTTTTTTTAATAATCAATTTCCAATACGATTATAGTTTATGATCTTTATTTTTCACGGTGTCAACGTAGGCCAGTTGCTGGATTTAGGTATGGATTTGGGTGTCTGTATATGTGGCGTTGCTGCGGTTGCCAACTGCTGGCTGACTTGGCGCGTTTTGGTGCCTCCTCTGTGTAAATGCCTCGGCTGGCAGAAAAAATTAATTTACAGCGCTAAGCAAGCATGAAACCATAAAACATGTGCACTTGACACAGGCAAGACTAAATGATTAACCTGTTGCACACGCCGGGAAAACAATGCGCAACACATCAGAAACCGAAACAGAGACAAACACGAAAACCCGACCCGACCCGATGCCACATACCCTTTACTCAGAACCCATGAATTTTATTTTTTTGAGATATTCAGGTGCATCGCAACACCTCACAGAGTTTGCAATGGGCCAACCTTAATGTATTCGGGAATTTTTATATTTTTTCACATGGCTAATTGTTGTCATTGGCAAACAGACAAGTGCGTGTGAAAAATCTGGGCTGCAACACCTGTAATATCCCCAGAAAAAACATCCGCCCCATTGGAGTATCATATGCACGGGAAAAAATTGAGCCATTAATAAATAAGAATCAAACAATCAAAAAGACAGACTTGGAAACATTGATTTTCTAAACAGTAAATATCATAAGATAAGAAATTAATAAAAATAATTTACAATATTTGTGAAATTATTTCATAGTCAATTTTACCCGATCACAAAGAGCATAGTATCTATATTATGTGCAATTTCTTAAGAATACATTTAAACAAATCGTAAAACTCTTTCTTAAACATATTGGCCAAGTCATATGTATGCTTTATTTTTTATGACTGTAGACACGTGGCTAAGAAAAACATTTGCCTTCTAAGCACAACATTGCACAATAAACATGCAAAACTTGCAACTTTTTAACAACATTTAAATCGCAACCAACAGATACAGATACAAATAAACACGCTGGCCGATGAAAGACTAATGCCCATCGGCCTTCATTAGATCTCGAATTAGTGGCAAATTAAGTTGTTTTTTTTGGATTTAACCCTTTTATTTTTAGAGGCAAAATTCATAAAAATTAACGCGTTTTTCGGGTGCTTTTCCGCACCAAAAGCCAGACGCTTTTGGGCATTTAGATACTACATATTATCGTATTAGTCACAAGGGAAGCGAAAATAGGAAACACCGAAACATTTTGAAATTATGGACAAGCCGTGTTGGTAGCTGGGTAAATCCAATTCCGAGTACTCTTTACTGAGCTTCTCCGTTCTGATAATGCTGACACGACGTTCGACAAGCAGCAGCTCTTAAAGGGTACAAATTCGCAAAACCGAAATCAATTATGCATACAATACACATAATTTTAATGCGTGCGCGGCACTCCGTCTCTGTATCTGTGTCTGCGGTTATTTTTACATTTTATTTTTTCAACATTTTTTATTTCCCCCAACCGCGGAAGAGCTGGACCTAGCTAGAATCGCGGCACACCGGCCTCTGGGGGTGTCCAAAAGTGTTGCAGAACTGAGCTTGGGACTGAGCTTGGGACTGAGCTTGGGACTGAGCTTGGGGGTTTCCCAAAAAAGGTGGCGGGTGGCCGCCCATCAACGTCAGCAGCAGCCCCGAAGGCAGCCAGCGGAACAGTCGCCTGACTCAACAACACTTGTCGACAGTTGGCGTCACATTTTTGGTCGTGATGATGATGATCACGGCGATGATGCGAGCTCACTTTTCCTGTCTCCAGTGTCAATCTATGGATGCCAGGTGCCTTGCATACGAATGGGTACGGGAATGGGATTGCGATTGGGAATGGCTTTGGCAATATGGCTATATGGAAATGGGAAGGCGATCGATTTGCTCTAACCCTGACAGAGACCCAGTCTCAGTCGCTGTCGATCAGCAGCAGTAGCCACATATCAATCATACGCCAAGTGGGTCCAATTAGTGTCGGAGCCAGGTGTTTGCTCTGTTCTTCGGGAAAACTCTCAAGGCGAATGCTCTCCACATCTAATCTAATGGCAAGCCATGCGATCCATTGTTGCAATTAGAACAGAAGCTGAAGTTCCCAGTCATTCGGTTGTCATTAGAGACCCAAACTGCGATCTAAGCAAGCCCTGATTACAAACTTGCCAGATCAGTTGGACTTGGATTAAAATTAATTCCACTCGCTGGACCGACTGGATAAATCTATGCGAATTGAGCAGCTAATTATACAAGGCGATCGAACTAGTCGAGAATCGAGAATCTTCTGCTGCCCGGTGGACGAGGACAAGTTCCGGTTCTAGTTGGCTAGGTCAGTGGTTAATGAAGAGAACACACACGGAAAGACACATGCGTTACATAAAAACAAGTTCCCAACATCGCACACACACTGTAATTGAATACATTTTTGATAGGCCATTTTCGATCAAAACTCTTTCCGCGTGCAATTTAAATAACAATGTGAGGCAAGAACAAGAAGCGAGGCCAACGGCAGCCATCCATCCACATGGCAAGAACATTAAACCAATCTGTGTGTGTGCGAGATACAGAGATACGAGATAGATTCGGAGGAGATAAAAGATACAAAATGAATGCCAAAGTTGGACTAACTTTAGTGCCAAGGCAAGAAATTCAAATGAAGCCTTGGGTGCGACTCTTTTCAGGTTTCAAGCCATTGACTTGCGGTCGTGCCAGCCCCCAAGAAGAATCTAAGATCTTAAAAGTCGTCTTCAGATTCATATGCTACTTATAGTTTTTTATATATATAATTGATATATACGATATATGGACGACATTGCGGGTGCAACGATGGCACCCAGCTTTATCTCTGTCCGGTGACTGCTGTCGTCATTCATCACTCGATTGGGGATAGCTCAATTGGCGATTTCTTCGGGCCTTTCATTAAAAATCATTGGCGTATCTCGTCCCAGAAATTCCAATGCAGCTCACGCTCCTCTCAACTGAGCTCCTCAGCTCCTCAGTGTTTTTTTGTAGCTTCTCCTTAGCCAGCATAATCAACGCTCGCGACACGAAACTCACAACTAGCAACTAGCAACTCGCAACTCGCGATTCCGATTCCGATTCCGAATCCGAAACCCATTCCGAGCTGAAAACGTGCTAAGCGTTCGGGATTTAGAATATCTTTTCATTCAATATTTTGGCAACGCGGCGTACGGACGTCGAGCTCTGAATTCTCGATTTTGGGCGAACATTTTCTAAAGCTCTCTTTCGCTTCCCCGAATCTTTTGCAGTTGCCAAATTGCAGTTCGAATCAGCCACGATGACCACCTACATGCAGATTGTTGAGGAGCGCATCTCCGGCCTGTCCAAGGGCGTGGGTAAGTCTGCAAGAAAAAAGACGTAAAAAATAATTAACTCTAAAAATTAATTATTGGGTATACAATTATCTTCTAGATGAAACGGTGGACAGCTGGTTCCTCATGAGCTCCCCGGCGCCGGTGGTGGGCGTGGTGCTTGTCTATCTTGCATTTGTGTTAAAGATCGGACCCGAGTACATGAAGAATCGCAAACCGATGGATCTTAAGCGTATTATGGTGTTCTACAATGCCTTCCAGGTCTGCTACTCCATTTGGATGTGTCGCACGGTGAGTCTATAAAGCCAAAAAGGCGTCACAATTATTCAGAGCACTGATCCCCCGATTTATGCATTATTCATTTTTAATAACAACCGTGGCGAAGTGATTGTTAAACATACAAAATGATGGGCTGGGCCGCAATATTTGCATTACAAATTCCACACTTTAAAGCTAAATATATAGATGAAAAGCAAAAAAAATCTTCTGAATTCTGTACTCCATTCGGCAATTGACAAAAGAAACGCAAATCATGAATGAATGAATTTCAATTGATATTATGAATGAGTTATAACATTTGGTTTATTAAGAATTGTCAAGCTTAGGTTTGAGTAGTCTTAAAATCTTTAGAATTAGTAGTTTATATATATATATATAAATAATATATTAACTATTTTCATTTAATTTGTTTGCAGTCCATCCGGGAAAGCAATGTGATGGCCTCGATCTTCTCGAAGAAGTGCGAGATTACCCGCACCCGGGAGCAGACCCTTGGCCTGTACTCCGGCGCCTGGTTCTACTTCTTCTCAAAGATCATCGATCTGCTGGACACGACATTCTTTGTGCTGCGCAAGAAGGACAACCAGATATCGTTCCTCCATGTCTACCACCACACAGTGACGGCTCTCTTCTCGTGGGCCTACTTGAAGTATGTGCCCGGTGAGCAGGGCGTGATCATTGGCATCCTCAACTCCGGTGTGCACATCATCATGTACTTCTACTACATGGTGGCCGCCATGGGACCCCAGTACCAGAAGTACCTCTGGTGGAAGAAGTACATGACCAGCATCCAGCTCATCCAGTTTGTCCTCATCCTTGGCTACATGTTGGCTGTCGGCGCCAAGGGTTGCAACATGCCCAAGACACTGACCTTCTTCTTCGTGGGCAACACGGTCATCTTCCTATATCTTTTCGGCAACTTCTACCGCAAGACCTACAAGAAGGCCAAGACTGTGAATGCCTCGGGATCGGCGACGGGCAGCAGTTTGGCCAAGTCCGCTCTGCGGGCTGCCGGCGGAATGGGATGCATGCCGCAGACGATGAACGTGGGCAATGGAAAGACGGCCATCAGTCTGCAGAATTCGATGCCAGGAAAGGCCTACATCGATCTGAACAACAACAGCGTGAAGCCAATGAAGGCGGAGTGAGACCGACCGAGAGCTAGAAGATTTCCAGGGGTTTCATTTAGCAATTACTTTCGTAGCGCGGGGCTTCAGAAGTTAGTTCGTAAGGTATCCATATCCATATCCGTATCTGTATCTGTATCTTTATCGGTATCTGTATCTATATCTGTTTTTCTGTAATCTCTGCATGTAGGAGGATCGGCCAGCGTAATGTTTATGCCGGACAGACGAAGATATTTCAAACCCAAAAGTAGCTAGAACCCTAAGTGTGCGAATGTTTTGTTTACGTGTTTATGTTTTTCTAGCCAGAGTGCCTGTGTGTGTGTGTGTGCGAGTGTGTGTGCCAGGGAATGTGTTATAGAGTTTATTAATGAAATGCAGCCGTAAATCGTTTCTCGAAACAAGAACAAGAAAAATTCAATAAAACTTTGATTTTTGTATATTTAATAAAAAGAGCCCCGCGCTCTGTCTCTGTTCTTTGCCGGCTCGATTCGGGTTTCACCGATCGAATGGGGGGGTTTGGGAATTCTTTAATTTTCGGGTTTTCTGCACGAGGCTCGAGAGTTAGATAATCGAAAACCAGTTGAATCCCATTATTTATGACAGCATATTCGTGGCCAAATCGATACTTGGGCCACGCGCACCAACCGCCCGGCTGAATTATGCAGATCTGCAAAACCGCAGCCATTCAGATGGATTCGATATTCCGCGGGGCATAAAGAGTGATTAATGCCTGTCGATTAATCGATGAGATTTCACCTGCCAATTGTCCTAGGTAACTGCGTACGCGTGCTTGCCGCGATTATGCAACACGTTCTTTTGGCCAACAAAGGGGAGAACTGGTCTTCGACAATTCTCTGGCCCGGCTTAGACACCTTGGCGACGAATGGCTATGGGTGAATGTCGCTGCCAAATTAGAATTTCTAATCAATTTTTTTTCTCCTTCGCCTTGACTCACACACATGCCCAGCATCAGCCCGTTTATTTATGCAGATTTTTAATATAAATAGATAAAACAAATCCGATGTTTTTTTGTGTGGTTTAAGTCAAAGTTCAAGGGCCTGATTTAGAATGCCATTTGTGTCTTGTGGGGTTCCTCCGCTGAGTGGAGGATGTCATTACTATTTTCGCCACATTTGCATAGGTCAAACCCTCCTCACCTGCCTGCAAAGACAGCAAATAATGCCTAAAAGTATGCTCTCCACCCGCCATTTTCATTATGGAAATTTTTCAAAAAAAGGTTTAGCACAGGTTCTGTTCTTCCTCTTCTCCGATCTTCGATCTTCGATCAATTCTTTGCTGATCAGGCCATAAAACTGGTAACCAAAGATATAGCTCCGGGTTGGGGGCCAGTTGAAGACAGACGACGACTTTTTCGCTCGGAGGTTCGTCTTTGTCTTTTCGTGTTTGTGGTCAAGATCAAGGTCAGTTGTCGAATAGAGGAAACCGGCTCACGGTTCGATACTGTATCCGCAGCAGCAGCAGCTCCACTCGAAGATGCGTTTTCACTTCCGGTTCGCTATGTGGTTCCGTTTTGACTGATTGCTCAATAAAAGGCTGCGGAATTTATCAAACTCTTATCTCGACTGAGGCTGCTGCCATTCAAGGTGCCTCTGAATTAAGCTCTGGTGGTCAGCGTTCCGAGAGCCACGTAAAAATTGGACATGCTGCATCATCACCCCAAAAGACCTGTTCTAGCCACGCCCATTCAAAATTCAAATCACTTTTCGCATTACGGATGTCGCTGCTTCCGCCGCTGAATGAATGAAAATATTGTTCTTTTTATACTGGATATTGATTCGATTTAAATGAGCTCCTTGAGCAAAGGCTTCCTCGAGAGATTTATGTGAGGTTAACAGAATGGGTGGGGCTATTTGGGAGATTCCTCCAAATTAACAGATATTGTTAAACAAACAAAATTAATTAAAATTCAGATTGTACGACTCTCTAAATAATGGGGCAATCTTTATGATGGTTCTATGATTTTGATTACAGGAAGTGCCTTCATCTGCAATATTTTCAAGGTCAAAGCTAATAGAATTAGCAACTCTGGATCTTGACTTATGAAAAAGATATATCAGAATGAATTAAATTGAGCCAATAAATTTTAAATAATGCCTAATTAATATTATTAGTTTGATTTAATTTAAAAGCACCCTGTAAGCAATAATCATAATTTATTTCATTTAATTTTGAAATGTCAAACAAGACTCCATAAAAGCACCAATATCACTTGGTCTTCAATTGATTCTTAAATACCCTTAGAGACCTTCAAGATCAATGGACTTTGGTGACCTTAAGTTCTTGTCCCCTCCCATATTCCATTCAAATAAGAATCATTCTCATTGTTGGTTTTTGTTTTTCGATATTTTTTTTTGTAGAAAAAATTCTAGATTTTTATTTGTAAAATGTATGTTGAATTTATGGGTGTTTGCTATTTGCTATTTACTATTATTTTTCACTTTGCTTATGCCTACTTTACATACCACAAGTATATAAAATCTAAAGAAAACATATTCATATTCATATGCGTACCTACACTTATTTACACAACTAACGCTTCTTCTGCCTGTTTACTTAACTTAGTTCAGTTTTGGCCGAAAGACATACGACTTCTTTCATTTGTTGTCCGCCAGATGCGAACATCAAACGGAGCGAGCGATGATGACGATGGCTGCAAAAAGCAATTTCAACTGTTTGAACATTTACATAATGTGTGTATCGGTGTCTCCAAGTCTTAAAGACCGGGAAACCTCGTTTGCTCAAATACATGGTATATATATTGTGTCTCGTTTCTGATTTTTGGCGGCGGATTGCTTAAGAAATTAGTCAACAAAGTTGCACATAGAACGTGGTGGCTCTCAGTGGTTTCCCGCTTTGTACGAGTATTGAGGGGGGCGCCTGGTATGGTATTGGTGGGTGTGACAGCCTACAAAGCCTTCTTCTTCTGCTCCTGCAGCTGCTCCACAGCCTTGTTGAGGTCCTTGGCACAGCTCTCATTGTTATTGTCCGCAGTAAGAGCCTTGGCATTGGCAGCCGCCTGTTTCTTCTTGTAGGACTTTTGGTAGAAGTCATTGAACAGGAAGTAGAAGAAGACGGCATTGGGCAGGGTGAAGCACACCGACCACCGGGGATAGCCGCAGTCCGTGTACAGGAGCTGAGTCTGGTGGATGAAGGCGCAGCAGAACTGAATCTATCAAACGAGACATAGTTCATAGGGTTAGTGATTGTTTTAAGGACTTATAGAGAAGGTATTATCAACTCTTGCTGGTTTAAAAATACCAAGACCAAGAAAGATTTCGAGATTTTGAACCCAACTCACCATCTGGAGGTTGGTGATGTACTTCTTCCACCACAGGTACTTCTGCATCTGGGGTCCGAAGGCGGAGAGGAAGTAGTACGAGTACATGATGATGTGCACAAACGAGTTGATCCAGCCAATGAAGGTGCCGTGTCCGCCGGGATAGTACTTGCTGGTGCCCCAGCTGATCATGGGCATCACGGTGTGGTGATACACATGCAGGAAGGTCACCTGGCGGTCATTCTTGCGCAGCACAAAGAATATGGTGTCCAGCAGCTCGGTTATCTTGGCCAGATAGTAAACATAGACCACGCGCGCCTCACGATATGCCTTGGGGGTGCGGGACCAGTCCACCGGCTGGCACCGCCAGCTGTAGTACCGCCAGATGACCACACCCTCGTACACCATCCAAACGCTGAGGGCCACCTGGAAGAAGTTGTAGACGAGCAGGGTGCGTTCCAGCTTGAAGGGCTTGCGATCCTTCATGAACTTGGGGCCCCAGGAGAGCACAAAGAAGAGGTAGAAGGCAAGGATGCCCAGCAGGGGCAGTGGTGACTTGATCAGGAACCAGTCATTGGTGCGTGGATCTATGAAAGGGGAAATGGGGATTAGATATAGATAAGTTAAAGCCGGACTTATGACACCACTTACCTGCCAGATCGGTGAACAGAAAGTTCCAATAGTCCACCTGCGTTGCGTTGACGGCTGCCATTTTTAAATTCTTGTTGGACTCTTGCTCCCACAAATACGATTATATAGTCGCTGATCGCTTCGATGTGGGAATTAAAAATCTGCTAAGCACGCGTCGCGACGAACGAGTTTTGCGAAATCTAAATGGGGAAGAACGGCAGGGAGTCTGGATGAGTTTCAGTTCGAGTTCTCCTCTATTTAAGTTATGCTAATGTCGCCAGCTAGTTTAGTTACTGTTGCCGAGCCCAGAAATGTATAAATAAAGACCTACAATGGCAATCCAAAAAGCCGAAAGAGTTGCTGTGTCTTTGGCGACGGTGAAATGCGTGAAATTATCATGTAACAGTAACAGTAAATTATATTCATTATTATGAATTAAACAACCGCAGCGACGCACAACAGGCCCCAACAAATTGGTTAAGGTGGCCACCTCATACTCCACGGTTGCCTCACATCTGCTAAATTGGGACTCCAACTGCGAGATTCCAAGAGACACCAAGGTATCTCACGTGTGGAGATCCCCGCTCACCCATCCGCATCCCAAGCAGCTTGAAAATTATGTTTGTCTATCTGTCTGTCTGGTGAGTCTCTCTCCACAGAAGCAGTCACAGTCATTCATGGAGTGCTTGACGATGCCACTCCACGATGATGATTAATCATCCCGAGAACCTAGATTCACAGCTCAGCTCTTCGAAGGACCATTAGAGAGTCATCAAGCTTGGAGCATAGAGCATCAAGCAGCGAGTAACCAACGAGCACAACTGGCACCTACATATGCCAAAAGCCATAATCACGTTCGTTGACTTCGAGTCTCACACTTGAACTTGGCAAAGGCCGATTAAGAGCGCGGTAATCGAATAGCATTATGATTTCTTTCGTCGTTTTCGAGGCTATTCTGATCGGCTTCTTGGACTGGCTTGGACCGGAGGAGGAGGGCTTTTGGAGTGTGCGAACAAATTGAAATAATAAATGAGTGAAACAGAAATACTTCCGAGTCGAAGGGCAAGTTGGCCAACACTCTGTGGTGGCTATCAGGTTTTTATTTTTCCAGCCATTTCCTGCACTTCAGGCCTTTTGAATATTATCTGCAACATTTGACGCCACAGAATATGGGCGGCAATAACTGGTGCTAAGGTGCTAAACACCTGTATTGTACGCACGGAAATGTTCCGAAAAATCCAGTTTATCAATTTTCAACTCCATATCATGACCTTGCCATAGTTTTTTATATTGTTTACTTCCAACTTCTGGGGAATTGGGTGGGAATAGCCACCGATCTGTCGCATCTCTGTGGGCATAGTCCCCGTCGTGTCTGGCTGATCATCGCCATTTCCACTTGGTTAGTCATTTGTTAAATGGCCGGCAGTCTTGGGGATTTCTTCTCTTGCCTTTTGTTTTTTGTCAACGGGCCTTGGCCACGCCTATAGCGAGCAAATAGAAAATTGTGTCACCTATTGCCCAACTGTCAAAGCCGAAGTCGACCATACGAAGAAGGCTTCGGTTTCGTTTTGGCTAATTAAATTATGTCGCAAAAGTTTAATGACCTTGACAGGTGAGAATCAAAGATATATACTACATATATGGCAAATGTTTAGTGTTCTAAAAAGTGTGTTTGCATATCTAATGAGGGACCTTCTGGACTTTAAAAATTATCTTTTCTGATTTTCTGAAGTATTTAAATAATGCCTGATATTACAATTTAATTCTAAGGAAGTTAAGTTAATAATTACTTTATAAAAAAACCCTTTTATTTGACACATTGGAATCAAAGAATCTGTGCTAGTGTTCCTATATTAGCAATAATTAGTTGTACTTCACATTTTCAGTACGAAGAACATTAAAGGCTCAATTAATTTTAAACATTTATGTGATAAGGATATTTTCTTATTAGAATTATTACGTTACTCTATAACATATATACCCTTAAAGGCAAGATTTTAACTCATTTCAAAGTAACTTCAAACCCTTGCATTTTCTTAGACTTTTCAAAACCTAATGGCATTTATCACTTTTCCTACACCACTGAGTTTAGCGTTCTAAGGTCTTAGTCCTTATCCAACGGAACCCAAATTCTATGTTAAATTTCTCATATTTCTGATCTGATTGATCACTCTTTTAGACACACAAAACACACTCACTGACACTTGCAAATCAAGAGCTTGGGGGCACCTGTTGCAATCTCTTCGATTGCCGTGCACTTAATTTACAATAGCAAAACGACAAACAGCGGGAACGCTTAATGTTAACACCATGACAACTGTATTTTGAGTCTTGTTTCATCTGCTTCTTATGACTGATATTAAGATGCTGGATTGCGGTATGAGTATAGTTATAGTATAGTATAGTGTATGGAGTGGTGGAGAGACCTTTGCTGGCATCCGCTACCCACGAGACTTGTACGCGCACTGAACTGCTACGCCGAGGTGTACGCGGCTATGTATAAAAATTTCGTCTAAAGGTTCGATTTTTTGGTGTTGCTGTATCTTTGGCTCTTTTTCGATTTTGTTTTTGTTTCAGTTCATTTCAGTCGCAGTTTTAGTCTTTATCTCCATCTCTATCTTGGTCTCAGTCTCAGTCGCAGTCTTGGCTTTTAGTTTTTGTGTAAGGCCCAACTTTTGTCTCGGCTATTTGGCATCTTGCTCATCCTCATCATTGATCTTAGCTTTGGTTTTGGCATTAGTTAAAGACGAAATGTTCTTTTGTGCGATCGTTTCGTTTCGAATTGGATTGGTATGGGTTAACCTGCATATATAATTCTATATGTACACAAATCGGAAGATCGCCTGGTCTCGTTTTTCTATGATAATATTGATGTTGTTGGCTTTAAGTGCTGCTCAGGTGTGCGTGCGTGTTGCCGGTTCTTTGTTGCTGCTGCTGCTGCCTGAATTCGCTTGAATTTTAATTCGTTTTCTATTTGGCCTGGCAGCCTTTTGTACATTCTAAAGAATCATAAAATATTCTTGAATAGTTGCCAGTCCCGATCGTTATGGTAAAAGCAATTGAGTTGGAATTAAAAGGACGAGGAATTTGATTTGAAAGCAAAGTATTTGAGCTTAGGTTTAAGGGTTAGGGAAATTTTTTATTTTAATGCTAGTGCGAAGTACGGAAGTTCGAGTTATAAGGGTCATAATAGGGTCACCCCTTGTGGACTTTAAATAATATATTAAATACTTAATTTAAATTTACAGCATTTCACTCACGTGGTATAAGCAGTAAAAATATAAACACCTAATCAGATATAATAGATAATAAATATACTACAGTACACGCCTAATGGACTTTCATTTTCTCCACAATTCCTCAATTATACTTTGAACGTTCTCCGATGTCTTTATTAAGTATTCTTCATCATTAGCCATTAGAGAATCCCAACAAACTCAGAGTGAATGCTCCTAAATGACCGGATAATGAGATTTTCATTCTATTTTGTTTTCCCTTTTGAGTAATTCTCCCCGTTTTCTGATTCTCCTCAAGCTTTATTCGAATCTTAGTCCGACCTTGACCCACATTTTGGATACTCTTTTTGCGCTCCATCTACAACAAGTTGAACTCTAGAACAAAATGCGTAGCTGGTCAAGAATTCCGTTGACCTTTTTGTGCCGCGTCGACGAAATTCTTGTTGCCAGTTTACCAGCAATGTCAGAACAAACACAAGAAACCACGATTAACAACGATAAAACGACTAATTTACAGACAGAAATTTTAATTCGATATGAAAATTGAATGTGAGGTGGCGTTAATTCAAGGAGACACGCGTTCAGATGGGCAATTTACATACAAGTTCTGGGGGCCCAGGGCTCAGATTCTAGCGATCGCACCGATTGATGCCACTTCCGGGTCAAGTCACAGACTAGACCAATCGAAAGCCAACTCCAACGATGGCTAATGGAACCAGCTAACAAGCACAACACAAACCATAAGCGGAGGCTGAGGCTGGGGTCACTCGCAGTTAACTGTGTCACCGGCGAATTGAACTTGAACTTGCTGCTAAACTTGGCTTAAACTTGTGCCAATCGCGACCAGTTCGCATTCAATTAGACTGCATAAGATGTGGGTGAATGTCAGGCGAATCGGAGGGTGAATCCCTTCGATTTGCTTTGCCGCGCTGCCGGGAATCAATCATACGCCGTGTGTGCCGCTCAGAGGGTCTTCTTCCGGCTTGCTTGGACATTTGCATGCGTCTTTTGTTTGTCCAACCACCAGACAGACCGACTAACAGACAGAAAGACGAACCGACAGCAGATCATAATAGTATGCAAAAGACGACAGTTTATTATCTGCGTCGCTGCAGACTCAGATTCATGTTCGATTCATGCGATCGAACTGGGAGCTGCGAGCTGCGTGCTGCGCGCGAGTTATGCAAATATCTTCCGCAAACATTTACATAGCCAACAGCCAAACTGGCCAGCAAACCGTTAAACAATTATTGTTGAGTTTTTTTCGTACTCCCCTCTCGCCTCTTTTGGGCCAAATTGCGTAGACAAAAACAGTCACACGAACAACAAATAATTAAAATGTGCAAAATCTCCTCGGCTTCGATTTGCGTGTACGCTTTGTAGAAGTCCTAATTGGTGATGAGACACAACATTATAATTTAATTATCAATATATTTGTGGTGTTTTTATTTCTTACTTATTATACAAGGCCGGCGGAAAGGGCGCCAAACAATTTGATTGCTCGATCATTGATTTCCTATGCCCTAAGCTTCTCCTTTCAGCTCTGCAAAATAAAATCATTAAGCCTGCGTTTATTTCTCTGCCTACAGCATTGTTTTTTTCTTAGTCGTAAGATTGTTAACAGCAATTGCAAATGAGGCTCTTAAATGTTTAATTGGCCGCATTAAAGTTGTCTGCGGTCCGCCGGCTTAAGCCGAGCTTGGCTTTTTCACACGCTGCTGGCGGCATCTATGATTGGGTTTAATAAAGCTTGGCTTAAAGCTTGCCACAAAGTTGCCAGCTTATTTAAAAGCTGTTTAACTTTTTATAGCCGTTAGGTTTAAATAATCATACGCTATAAGGCGTAAAACTTTTGTGAAGTGAAGGAATCATTTCCGACCCTACAAACCATATATATTCTTGATCAGCATCAAGCGATGAGTCGATCTAGCCATGTCCGGTCAAAAAATAAATTTTCTGAATTTTTCCGAAAATTGAAAATTTTATAAGGGGTTACATCATTAAAATTGTCAAAATTTAACGAAAAATTGAATTTTCTAAATTGGAAAACTGAGTATGCAGATTTGTTAACCTATTAAAAATTAGCAGAGAACAGCTTTCCCAATTAAAATTAATGATTTTTTGAATTAGGTCTGCGTTTTTTAAAGCTATGATTTTTGGACAAAATTGTCTGTTATTATACCATTTTGCTAGGTTTTATAATTTTGATTTAATTTAGCATCAACAAACGCAGTATGCAGATTTAAAAGTGCAATAAAAACGAGCACAGGAAAGCTTTTCGAATTAAAGTTAATGCAATTTCGGCTTAATTATGATGTCCGAAAAACTTAGATTTTACAACAAAATTGTCTGTTTTTATACCTTTTTGCTGGGTATAATTTAAGTCAGAAGCTTGTAACGATGTGAAGGAATCATTTCCGAACCTACAAACCATATATATTCTTGATCAGCATCAAGAGCTGAGTCGATCTAGCCATGTCCGGTCGAAAAATAAATTTTTGAAATTTTTTCGAAAATTGAAAATTTTATAAGGGGTTACATCATTAAAATTGTCAAAATTTGACAAAAAATTGAAGTTGTTAAATTTGAAAACTGAGTATGCAGATTTTTTAACCTATTGCAAATTAGCATAGAACAGCTTTCCGAATTAAAATTAATGATTTTTTGGATTAGTTCTGCGTTTTTTAAGACTATGATTTTTGGACAATATTGTCTGTTTTATACCTTTTTGCCAGGTTTTATAATTTTAGCCAAAAACCAACAATAGCATCAACAAACGCAGTATGCAGATTTAATAGTGCAATAAAAACGAGCACAGCAAAGCTTTTCGAATTAAAGTTAATGCAATTTCGGCTTAATTATGATGTCCGAAAAACTTAGATTTTACAACAAAATTGTCTGTTTTTATACCTTTTTGCTGGGTATAATTTAAGTCAGAAGCTTGTAACGCTGTGAAGGAATCATTTCCGACCCTACAAACCATATATATTCTTAATCTGCATCAACAGAAGAGTCGATTGAGACATGTCTGGTGTCAAAAAATTTTTTGGCCATTTTTTGAAATTGGAAAAAAAGTGATGTTTTTAAAATTACAAATATAGTATGCTGATTTATTAACCTTATGAAAAGTAGCACAGAAAAGCTTTCCAAGTTGAATTTAATGCATTTATGGCTTGGTTATGATCAATTGAATTTGATTGATTTGATTTTTGATACACATTTTTAGTTGAAATTGTATTGAAACTTGGTATATTTTGGAGATATTGTTTAGCGATATATTATAATTAGGTTTACCTCTTTTTAATAAAATGTACCCAGCAATATTTTGCAGTGCGTTCCGCAGAGGTACATTGAACATTTTAAATCAAGTCTCCTAGTCATATCCCATCTTTCTTAATTTAAGCTATTTCAGAGTTGGGCACATGCGTCTTTACCTCTCTTACTTGGACAAATATGTATTATTTACTAAAAAGGTTAGTAACTCTTGTTACATTAACTGCCCCATTCTAATTTCTTAGAAAAAAATTCCCTGTCCCAGTACCAATTTTCTAAACTTCATTAGTAAATATTAATTATAAATAATTGAAGGGTACAAATTCTTACGACGTCATGCAAAAAAGCTCAATTCGTAATCTAATTTCTATTCAATTAATTGGGTGTTTACCCTGAGTGTAAGCAAAGGCTAAATGGTGCTGATTAGTGGATTACATGACACGAGTCGTTGCGCTGACCCAAAGCCACTTGAAGCTGTAACAGGTCGATGCTCCTGCTCTATGGCCACTCATCCAAAGTGGCTTTAATTGCGCAAATCGAACTCGTTTGCCAGCACGGAAATGCCGAATCTATATATATATATATAGTAGTATCGGGTCTCTCTCGCACTCTCCGCGCTATTCGATCAATCGAATTTTCGGATCGTAGCTAACCAACTATCAACTACCGTTGGCTTGCCCTTGGGAGGAACTCGTTTCGAGCGATAAATTGAGAGAAAAACAAAAAGATTAATATGTGGAGAAAAAGAAATCGTACTTCCGTTTCCTGATCGAACGTCGCGATGACGATGAAGCAGAAAATGCCTAAGAAGCTTAATAGACTCGATCGCGCAGAGCGGTTTTCATTTAGCAGCTGCCGCCAATTAAGATGCATAATTATACATTCTAGTCTTGATATTTTCGCCAGCTCTCAATACCGGCGATATATCTGAGGCAATACACCAGTCTCTGT